CGCTCACTGAGTATCGTTGTTACACAACGGGCATTTATATCCTGCCTGTAACTTGTTCCAATAATTAAGATTCCCCATGGTCCAGCTCATAGCCTGCGGGCCTGATTTAAGCCCTGGGAAGCTTGTGTTTGGCCTGCCGTGGTACCCTGGAGGAGCTATTCAGATGCTCACACTACCCTAAAAATCCAAGTCCTCGTATCTGAAGCCAGGTCCTGACCATCATCACCGAGCTCTTAATTCAGCATGTCCCCTAACATGAAAATGCATCCCCCAAATAACTGGATCTTCCTGGTTCAGTTTTTCTTCCCTTCCTCACCTAGTCTGAGACACACAGCTGATTATGGAGGCGGTGAGCCCAAATTGTCACAAATATCTGAAGTTTCTGCCACGTAAATTGAGTCTATCTTGTATAAATCACAGCTCTGAGAGTATCTGTAGATCTGCTTTAAGCACACCTGCAGCACTGTTGTTTTTTCCCCATGCACTCCATACCAGGATACCTCTACTGATCTACCCGTATGCATTGCTGACTGAATCTGATACGTGTGAAAGCAACATGAAGCCTTGAACTCGTTCTGCCTGCTCTGCTGTTAACACTGGGAGCTGGTTAATGCATGGTCATTGCTCAATGGTGTCTACATGCTCGATGGATTGATTTCCTGTGCTTTCTTGTAGCAGGAATAGCCTGCATGCATTTCAGTGTAGCACTTTCTGGGCTGTGGATTTATTTTACATAAAGGTGTAAGAAATAAGAAAGGACTGAAAATATGTGGGATGTGAAAGGGAGTGTGGATTAGTGGGTACAGCACAGAGCAGGCAATTAGGAGACAAGTTCCCCGCTCCTAGTTTGGTTGGAATTGTTGTGAGAACTGGGGCCAGTGAATCATAGGCTGGTTGATCTAATTCTCTATGACTCTCCATGACTTCATCAGTCATTGGTGTTTGAAATTCTGCTCCGGAGCCTGTCTAAAGGAGTGCCCTGGGGTTGGCGTAACTGTTTCTAGTCTATTTAGTTTGAAATGGACCAAATTTTTTCACTTTTTCCATCCTAGGGAATTTTTTTTTTTTTTTGGTACCTACCCATGAATATTTTTGTGCAGCACATTGCACAGTGGAAAAGCTTTAGTACCAGCAACAAACTACCCAAATGTACTGGTGCATATACAATGAAAGAAAATTAAGTTTAAAACAAGAACAAAAGCATCATGGAATATTAAAAAAAAATCAAGGATTTAGAGGGGTCACAATCATGAAAAATAAGAGAATGAGCAAGCAAAAAGGCTGCATAGCAATTTCAGGAAAAAAGTTTCACTTTTGCTGAAAAATTTCAGTCAGTTCCACAGTACATGCCTCAGTTTCCCTAATTGCTACATAGGGTTAGCAACCCAGACCTATTTTGCAAAGGTGTTGTCAAGTTTAATTTGTGAACCTTTGAAAAATGCTCCGAGTTTTTCAGATGAAAGGCACTGCAGATGCCAAACGTGGGTGTATACTCTGAGTCAGAGGCATAGACATGGGCATATTGTGTGATCAGCTTGACGCAGTGCACTAGATAGGAGACAGTTGTCCTCTGCAGGAAACGTAGGGATAGCTGGTGCAAAAATCACAGATGATGCTTACACGAGTGTGAACTCATGCTATAGAAATCAGGAGCCACCCTCTGGGAGGTGCAAAGATAAAGCCTGCAATAAAGAGACGTCCAGTCTCTACTTTGGCTTCTAAATTGCCTGAAATACATGTGTGCGCACAAGTCTTCTAAATACAGTTGGGAACTGAAGCACAAACTGCCTAACAAACTTTAACTCCAGTAGTCCTCCTGTGATTCCCTGGCAGAATTAGCCAGCATTGGCAGTGGTTATGAGCACCAAAAAGACGACGTGCACCTCAAGTTTCAGACAGGTGTGAACAGTAGATTTCCCAGGAAAGGCCAGAAATAACAAGAGAGGTGGGCCCCATCTGCAAACAAATTTTTGGCATAAAAAAACATGATGAGGTGTGATGAGGTGCAGAGAGATTATGGGGAAAAGAGTGGGCTTGGCCTTTGGCTACGGAGCACAGCTGCAGTCCCAGGACATGTGGCAGCAGAATTGATGCATTTAGCTCTTTCTCATCACAGGTGGGCCTGCCACAGTTTCACAGGTATTTGCAAGCAGGACGTGCCCAAGGTGCTAGTGCCAGGCATGTGGGACGCTGCCAGAGTGAGCTGAGAGCTGAGATTGAAAGGGGACCAATGAAAGTGGCATTATGCAGAAATGACTGGGAACAGCAGGGAACGTTCCTTACGCACACATGAGTGACATCCTTCCTTTCTTTCCGCAGACTCGAGGGAGGCTCAGCTCAGACTACTGGCAAACAGATTCTTCTTCAAGAAATCCAGTTTGCACTTGGCTCCATTAGTCTGTTTGTGTGTATATGCACATGACCTCCCTCTTTCTGTCTGACATAGACCATTTAAGCTGAGGGCTCTCCAAAATTAAGCAGCAAGGACAGATGCCACCCAAGCTATTCAAAAGCCAAAGCAGAACCTGCAGCTTTATGGAACATACTGACTGTCATGAGGGCTGACAACAGCCCGTCTCAGTCTGACTGGAGCAGCGTTAGATGATAGACATTACAATGTCTTACATCTCAGGTATGGCCATACTTAACCAGTATTGCAACAAATGGAGGAGCTAAAGCCACAGCTGACATCAGGGTAGGTCAGGCAAAGCACAGCCTAACCTGACTTATTGGAGGGTGCCAGTCTTGTATGTGCCTCTGCATGGACAGAAGACTCAATAATAAACCTCCTCCTGAGCCAGTTACTCTCGAGTCTGCCTAGAATAACGATTAAACTTATTTACTCTGGATTTGCATCAGTAAAACCAAGATGAAAAAATTCAGTCCTTAATCTTCTGACTACCTTACCTACTCCAAAATTGTAACAAAGTGTCAGGAAAACAAGAGAAACCAAGACTGCCTTCTTCCAAGCTAGACCTCTTCATATAGATGTCTTTTGTTTCTTAAGTATTAATGCTAGCTTGGAAAAGCTCTGCTGAGTCTTTTCCGTACACGTGAGAACAGGCACCTCCGCCCTCCAGTATTTTTAATTACTTGGAGATCTATAGGACTGTTGATGTTATAAAGATCAGCTCAGCCCAGGAAGCCAGGGGGAAATAAATACATATATGTCAGCCAATCTCTTTCTTTTATGAAATTTGTTTTTAAAAAATAGCATTGCCATTCCTATGGCAGAGAATGACTTCTGACTCACGAAAGACTATGGTCCTATTAATAAGAAAACTGTCCATTAGAAATTACTGCAAAAGGTGTGGCCTTTCCCAACAACTATTATCCCCAAAAATACTGTATACTAAATCATTTCTCATATATAGAGAGCCATAACGACATACAGGCAGTAAGAGGGGCTGGATCTATGAGCCAGGGGTCCCAACTGCATTTCAGTTGAAGAGAAAGGAATTCTCTCTTTCCTTTTCTCTCATTTTGCACTGACAAAGCCCTTAGAAACTGTATCTGTAAGACAGGCGCTTCCTGACTATCTCATTCTCATATCAGATCCAAAGTGTATGCTGTTCCTGTTTTGGGCTGCACCTCTATTTCCTCCACACATAAAAAAGACCTGCAAAATGCAGACCTGGATTTTTCCTCCACTACTTAGGACACTTCCAACCAGGGTTTTGTTACGGATTTCTAATGAGAAATTATTACAGGGTAAAAACCATTCTCCAGCAACACCACCATTGCATTCTGTGAAAATTAAATTAAGCACAAATCTTAGGTATGGTTAATTTACACCCTGGGCGTTAATCTCAAAGCAATCTCACTGAAATTCAGAGCATAATCTATGCTAAATTGATATGAGTGGAAGATCAATCTCTTTCTTTTGAAGCTGATGGAATTCACCAGCATTTATGAAGAGCCTTTTTCTTCTGAAATCTTCTGTGATTCCAACAAGTTGAACATTTCCCAGGAATACAGCTAGTGGAGACCAATCTATTTTTAAAACTCAGTTCTTTTCTCTTGCAAGAAACATTTTGGCCATCTAGCTGTAAAATATATCCTCTTCCAGGTATGTTACAGGTATGTCTCTCAGTTCAGTGGACATTTATGGGAAGAGCCACGTAAGATACACCAGAACCCTTATCTCAGTGAGAACATGCAATGAGATAGGCAGTGGGGGTTTTATTCTACTAGTCACATTAGTGGAGATTGCATGGCCTGTGGGAAAAACAAGACTAGCCAATTTTTACTTCAGGTCAGCTGTGTTCTTCTGATACATGGTTGGGCTATTTCCGGGTCTAGATGGAAGGACCTCGCACAAACCCAACATGAAAATCAAAATAAAGATAACAGGGTCTTTTAAACCAAGTATTATCCATATGTTTCCCCTCCCTGTCCTACTGAATACAGTAAGCCCTCAGGGGAATCCAGTTTAAGAATGCTTTATTCTAGGCGTTCATTTTAATTACAACCATAATTATTTTTGTGCATGTGTATGACCCAGTTAACAAACCCATCTTCAGCACCTCATGGTCTCTCCGTCCCTGCCCATCTCTGCAAGGAGGTAACCTCCGCTCCTAGCAACAATGAGCAAAATTATTTTTGAAACAAGCGGTCAAACTGGTTGCTACATCTTAATGAAAATTTTAAAAAAAAAAACACATTTCTATGTATATAAACAGCCCTTCCTCCCAAACCTGGTTAGACAAGAATGTTCCTGGGTGTGGACTGCCTTGTATAATTAACTGCACAGCTGTAGCTTCTGATCCCTGGTAACGTCTGTTTCTTTCTTTCTCCCTGCATCTACCTAGCATAATCCAGGCATTCTCCTCCTCCTTGCAGGAGCTCCAGGTGCGTCACTTGGGCAGAAACTCTCCCGCATTCCACCGTCATTCCTTGCCGAGACAACGACCGTGCAGACATACCCGCTTTGTAGAGTCTTGAGAGGCAGGAACTGGAGGAAAGACTGAGCAGTGAAGCCAATTTGCCCTGTTTAGACAATGGAAACGGGGAGCGCAGCGAGGACAAATGGTACCACTGGGAAGCCAGAGGATGTGAAGAGTCCATCTGCCCCCAAAAAAGAAGAAGAAGTGAAGAAGACCACAAACCCCGGTGGAGGTGAAAAGGAAGCTATGAAGAGCACTGGTGGTGCTTCTTTGGAGACAGGGCAAATCAAGAGCTCCCTCTTCTCTGGGAGTGACTGGAAGAGGCCCATCATTCAGTTTGTGGAGTCATCCGATGAGAAGAGATCGACCTACTTCAGCATGGATTCGGCAGATTCAAAGAAGATGCAATATGCCAGTGGACAGATAGGAGACATGAGGAGACCACCCCTCTCCTTTGCAGAGAAAGGCGATCTCAGGAAGCCCCTCTTCTCCTTGGATTCCAAAAAAAGCTTCCTGCCTAGTGAAGGGGAAGGGAGGAAGTCGTTGTTCTCTGGGGGGCAGATGGGGGACCTGAAGAAAAGTTCCCTCCCTCTCGTGGAGACAGGAGACCTGAGAAGATCCACCTTCAACAAGCCTGACAGAGCAGCTGGGTCACGGCCCAGGGTGAAGCTCGAGGATGTTCTGTGTGATTCCTGCATCGATAACAAGCAAAAGGCCGTGAAGTCCTGCTTGGTGTGCCAGGCTTCCTTCTGTGAGCTGCACCTCAAGCCCCATCTGGAGGGAGCAGCTTTCCGGGACCACCAGCTCCTGGACCCCATCAGGGACTTTGAAGCAAGAAAATGCCCTGTGCATGGGAAGACCATGGAGCTGTTCTGTCAGACAGACCAGATGTGCATCTGCTACCTCTGCATGTTCCAGGAGCACAAGAACCACAGCACAGTGACAGTGGAGATCGAGAAAGCGGGAAAAGAGGTAATGCTCTCTTTATTGCACATTCCCATCAGTCTTTCCAGTAGACCTCAATGTTATACCACAGCTTCTGCTCTCCAGCCTACAGTCTCTCCTAAAATCATGTCTGCATTGTAATTTTGGGATGTAGGGGTGGCGGATGGGAAGCGTTTAGTGGAGAACTGATACTGCCTGGGTTCGGCTGCAATGGGATTATCGTTCTCCTAATGGCTGGTTACAGCAGCATAGCACTGGTGTTGTGTAGCAGATGGGATTGTGGGGGGTGGACAACCTGGTTTCCACCCCTGGTCGCACCTCTGCCTTTCAGCAGAAGTTGAATCAAAGCCCTACATGCTAAGTTTAAAAAAAAAAAGTCTCAAGTTTTGACAGTGTTTGTGTAGTGTTACCCACAGCCAGAAAGGTGGGGCATTGCTCAAGTTCATTGCTCCAGAATACAGCTAGTCAGAGCAGTGGCTGCTCAAGTTACTATTGAAAATTGCCTTCTCAGCTACTTCGAGCGAGATTATGGTTTTTTGTTTTTCTTTTCTGTTACGGATATAATAGTGTCGAGCCACACCTATAGGAAGAGTCTTTTGAAGCTTAGATGAAGAAAAAACCCTGGTGCAAACACAAATAATTACAATTTCCCCTAAAGTGTTACTACAATAGGTTTAGAGGATGGACATCTAAGGAGATGAGGCTGGTATGTGGAACAGTGCTTATTCTAATGAAAAGTCTTCCACCTTTGTTTGCTTAAAGTCTCATGCCATTTGCCTTCTGGGTGGATGTATGATTATTCCACTAGCTCTAGTAAAGATCAGGGTCTCACCATGTTCAGTGCTGTACATCCCCTTGGTAAGAGCATGTCCTGGCCTAGAGACCTTCTGATCTAAGCAGACAGGACAGGAGAGATTACAGAAAGGAGACCTACGAAACGATAATGTAAAACAATTTGCCTAGAGTCATACAACCAGTCCATGGCAGAAACTGGAAGGGCACTAAGGTCTGCTAAACGCTAGTCTTAGGCACAGTGCAAGCCAGCGCTCTGATGTGGTGAACAGGCAAATACAAGTAGCCGCTGTTGGAAATTCTTGACTTACCCTTAACTTGGAAGAACAGTTTAACTCTTCTAAGGTGCTAGGAAGATTCATCTCATACGGCTGAAAAAGCATCTTATCTAGACCTTATCTCTGTCTTCCTGTGCAAATTTTGGTCTTTTCTTGCAATGTCATCTCCAACTTGCAGCCTTGCTGAAACCAGACAAGGTTTCTTCCATTTCTCAGTCAGTCTTTCTTAATTCCTGCAGGGCTTGCTAGCCTGCTGTGTTTCATAATTGCTTGTTCTTGTGTTTTTGATGTCAGCTCTGAACATAGCATATGCCTACATCTCCTAAAGCTGTGTCTAGTGTCTGCCAGGTTGTCTAATTCCTCTTAGCCATTTCTACTGAAAAGAGGTTGACAGTTGCTCCCTGAGGAACCAAAGCTAGTCAGAGCCTTCTTCCTGTAGTTGGATGGACCTAGAACACCTTGCTTTTAAAGAGGCAACCATAGCAGGGCAGAGAAGACTTTACCTAAGATTTAACTGATGTTTGATTTCTTTCTCAGAGTCCTTGTGCTGCTCTTATTAGCTCCATGCTTCAGTTCCTGTACTGTCTTGTGCTGCTTCTGCTGCTGCTAAGCCTAAAGGATTTAGGGCTTTATCAATATGAATCATACACATGTGCAAGTTTCTCCTGACAACGAGTTTTGATCATGTTGTAACTTGAGTATTCACTCAGACAAAAACAATTAACAGGATAGCTGTTACTTACAAAGGTTTATTCCTAGCCCTGATTTATTCAGCATAGGTGGAGCCTTAGCAAGAACCACAAAGAGGAATGAACATTTCCAAGTCCCTTGTGTGCACCACCTATTCTTTTCAAGTCTTGTAAATCAGCTGAGCTGGAATGTGACCACAAATTGGAAGAGTGGCAATGTGTGGCTGGTGCTGCTGGCCTTTGTGGAAAGAATAAGCAAAAAACCAACATCAGGTCATCCCCATCCCTGCCCTGTTTTCACAGCTTGGCATCCGAGCAGTTCCAGGGTAGCTTTACTACCTCCAGAACTGCTAACTCTACCACTGGACTGGTGACCAGGATACAGCTGTATCCAGACAGACCCTTTCACACAGCATTGGTTGTCAAGGAATAATTGGTTTGTCTGCAAGGATTTCCCAGTCCCTGGCTATACTGTGACTCCAAACCTGGAGAGGATTCCAGCAGAACTAGTGTGGGGTTCTATGCTGTGATGCACTTAAGCCTGACTGTCTATCTGGGCGCTCAGCAATTTGGTGGCACAAAACTGTCACATAAAGGGACATCTGTTCCTTTCGTACCGTGGAATTAATGCAGGTTACAGTCTCTTTCATGAGTTTATCTTTGCTATAGGCCTGTAGGGAAGAGAGGTGCTGTACTTGAGTGTTGGGAAAGCAAGGGATAGCTTAAGATCCTTCTGCAGAATTAGGTAACTCTGCTCCACAACACAGAGACAGTACAGCTTAAAAGAAGAGGAATGCAAACAAGCCGGTATACAGACACCTACTGGTTAGAGCATTTAGGCAAGCAGTGGAAAAAGCCTGATACCTCTCCACGAGATAGAGGGAGAACACAGCAGCATCTTCCACTTTTCAGGAGCCTGGTCTGAAAGTCACTCATCCCCCTTTTCCTGGTATGCTGCTGAGCAGACAAGAGTGAAAGGCACAGTGGGTCAGCCAGAGGCAACTTGGCAGGGAGGACACAGATATTTTTTCTGAGTTTCCACACAGTGGTATTTGCGCATTTTACCCAGAAAACCTTTAATGCCTTCCCCAGATCCACTTTGCATTAGTTTCCTGCTGCAGATTTAAAGGAAAAGTAACCCCCCCACCAGAATCAGTACAAGAAACCACCAAGAAAAAGTTCGTGAGGCTGGGTAATAACCACACACAGTTCAAAAGTGAGAATTGTCAATAGCAGCTTGTACACTCATCTAAAACCCTCTGGGCAGCTTGATTTATCAGCAGAACTAGAGCCCCCTTTTCAGAGAGCACCCTTCATTTTGAAAGAGGATCCTTCATTCAAAACCTGTTTCACAGGCCTATTCTCAAAACGAGACAACTTTACATATGCCTGCCTGTCACAGAGCTGTAAATAACCTGGTGTTACTATCCAGCGTCAGCCTTAGTACTCTGCATGTCAGGTCAGTTCTAGTGAAAAGCACTTTGAATTTTTTCTTTAATTCTTTGCCTTTAAAGAAAAGTTCACATTGTGCAGCAGGTTTAAAGAGGCAGCAGAGAACTGCATGCAGAAACGGGAGCTGGGTGTTCCTCGTTTCAACAAAGCAACTTTTAAAAGGGGAGACTTCACAGAGTCTGAACTAGGCTTTGAAGTCAACCGTCCACAGAGATGGACGCAGAGGGATTTCAATCTGAGCCCGCTCTGTACGGCTTTCACTGTCTGAATAGAGAGCAAACAAGAGTGTATCAATGTGGCAGTGGAAGGATTTTTGGCCTTTTTCAGTGATGCAAGGTTAGGGCATGATGTGGCTATAAGACCTTATCTACACTAGTTGTGGTTACTCTGTGGACACAGCTTAAAATAGATACTCTTTCCACAGAGATGGTGCAGTTACCTGCAGGATGTTCTTCCTAGCTGGAAGGCTGGGGAAGCTGACCTGCTGCAAATTGTGATTTAGAGTAGATTTGCCTATTTGCCTGCATTCTGCATTAATGCCTCTACAGTGAGGGCAGAACCCAGGGAAAATCCACCAGTTTGCAAGTAAGGAATTCTCTTCAAACCGCGCAGAGAGCCTTTTCTGGCCTCAGCTCATGCAGTGACTAGTGCCATTTTTGCAGGATGCTGGCAGAGTCTCCAAAGATTGTAGACTACTGGCACCCACCTCTGCTTAACAAAAGCTTAGGATAATGTAATGGCAAAACCAGCAGAAATAACGTCTCAAACAATTTCCTTATTTCTCAGCTATGTCATTTCCAATACAGGCCCTGTATTGGGACAACTAGTTTAAACACTTCTTCTCTAGCTTCATTATTGCATTTGGTTGTTGCTGTCAGGTAATTAGCACAGCTCTCCCAGGCTGGTGACACAGGGGTGTTCCCTGATGCAGGGACTGGGTTCCCAGAGCATTAAGACATGATGATGCTTGTATTGCTGCTTTGCGAAAATGAGTTGCATCATGATGCAAGACTCATAATCTCGCATCTCTAGGTCCTTTACAGCACAAGGGCTGGGTTGAGTTGTGGATGTTTAGGTGTACACTCTGAACTTTCACTTAGGTCTCTTGACTGTCCTAATTAACTTAGACTCTAATAGGGGATCCTCTCTTAGCTCAAAGACTCCCAGTGACAGCATTTCTCAACTTGCTATAGTCAAACCGAATGGTCTAAACCTGTATTTATTAGATCTTCTTCACTGTTACTGTTATTTCTGCACTGTAGGGACTCCCCCCACAATGGGCTGAGCTGCTATATTATCTTTCACTAGGACCTTCTGAACCCCAAGTCTCACCCAATGGATTTGTTCTGGGTGGTCCATCACATAAGGGGATCAGGGATTGTTGATCCTGGAAAACCTGAGAAATATGAAGAAAGCTAGGAGGGAAGTTTCTTCACAGGGAATGAAGCCGAGAAGTTGAAGGTCCCTAGTACCTGTAACCACCCTACTGTAAATGTAACACGGGATATACATGGACAGCTAAAGCAATCTTCCAGCCAGTCCCAGACTGAACAGGGCCTTAAAAACATCATGAAATCACCTTTGCTGAACCCCTTACATCTGGTCCATCTCCAGAGCACCGCTACTGAATCCCTCCTTGTGCCCATGTCACCAGTTCTTATACTATTCCATGGTCTCCCTGGACCTCTTTTTAAAACTTTTTCTATGGTAAGACTAGTTTTAATGTTTGTACTATCATGCAATGAAACACCTCCCTTCACCTCCCTTGCCCCTGCTGGTGTCTGTAACTAATGTTTCTTTTTGCCCTCAGTATGGGTGTTTTAACCCATGCCGAACCTGGATGACTGTGATATTTATATTCTGGCTATTGGAACTACCTCTGTAATTTCCATTTGCAAATCATAATTCTCACTCTAAATTGTAGTGTGGGTCTGCTCTTAAATAGTTGTTACATGCCATCCCAGAGGCACCCAAACTACCTTTCTGGGTGAAGGGGTATTATAACTGCAACAAGCTGTTAAGCGTTAGCTATCACTTTTGAGCAAGTAATAGTTTCCAAAATTCCTTTGAGACCCATCTTAATTAAAAAGTACTACAAAAGTATAATATTGTTATCACCACCTTCCAGCCATCACCTGAAATTCTTTCCTGCTACCTTTCTTTTCACATCCCTTGTGGAGTGTCTACGTGTCTGCTCAGAAAAATCCCTCCAGTCCTTCTCTGTAAGATTTCACTCACATTCTTGTTGCAAGAACATCCTGATATTTAGGGATGAGGAGGGAAACAGGAGCTCACATTGCTCAGGAGATGTGCTTTTTACTTTGCTAACAATTAATGACATCTGGATATAGCTCTGTGGCTCAAGGAAACAACTTGCATTATAGTGTAATGTCTCACATTGGTTACTGCAGTGCAATGGATATCTGGATCTAAAATGCTTTTATCTCATTGCATTTCCCTGCTCTGCAAAGATGGTTGCACACCTTTGTGTCTTGATGCAGAGGACATCTCACAGTGCACGAGAATGGAAAAAAGCATGCATTCCTCCAAGTCACTGTCTTGAAAATGTGAAAACTATAGGATCGAGCTCACGCCTTTACTCTTGATCAGTAGTAGAGTGAATTTTCTCATCTTGATACCCATATGGTTCCCTGATGATCCTGTACCGCAAAACCCTTCCATGTCTGCTCTGAACCCCTGTAGAATATGAGCTTCATCTCATGATAGCACTCAGGTGACTACTGAAGGCTGTCAGGGTGTATGGATAATATTTAGAGGACCAGTGCTCTCCTAACTCTCAACAAACAAGGACAATTACAATGACAATGTGAGAATGCACCTCTTCCGGCATTGAGATACCTTTGAATACATTTGCCTCTTTTGTTCCCCCTTTCTTCTGTTTTATAAGGCAATAAAACAACAGTCAAAGTGTTTTCCCTCTATAAACAGCGATTTTCTAAACTGGAACAGCTAGAGCCAATGGCTCTCAGATGCAGCTGTGCTTGATTCAAGCTCAAGAGGATGTTCAGACACTATGGTGACTGGCACCAAGACAGGAGCCCTGATGGGCTGATTTCCTTGGTCTGAGCTGGTTGACAGCTTGTTGCCTGCTCTTCATCATGTGATGCTATTTTTTACTCCTTGAATGGAGAATTGAAAACTTTTAAACTCCCACCTCGAGGGCAGCTATCATCACAAGAGAAGACCCAGGTTTTCATGTTGCATTATGTTCTTGGATGGGCGGCAGTGGGAACTATACCTTGTGTTCTAACAGCAGCAGGGAGACCTCACTGTGTTAGCTGCCGTGGGAGTGGATTTATCCATCCCTCACCTCCCCTGCCTCTAACTGTTGGCCTAAATGTAAGTGCTTTGGGGTAATACAACCATTTGCCAAAGGATCTCAGCATGAACAGTGGGCTTTCAGAACTTTTCTAACATGGCATAGCTCAGTTGTGGAATACTGGTAATTTCTGCCAACTGTGTAGTTCCTAAACAGCTCTGGGGATAAGTGTCCCATAGCCAGATTGCCTGTAGTTATAGTTGTGCTGTGACCAACCTGTACACACATGAAACACAGAAAGATCTTGACATGCGTAAACAAAGGCTTTGTCATGATCTGTTGGGCAGGGACATGGTGAATATGAAAGACCGAGGGAGGGGTTGCCCAGAGTTAACGGGGCAAGGCATTACTAAACAGCCAGGTCCTGGTCTGATCCAGAGACACGGCGTGCACAACAACCAGCATGTTACACCAGGGTATGGCTGCCCAGCCCTCCACAGGCTCCAGTTCTATGAACTGCCTTGCATGCAATTGTCTGGTCTGAGCTTCTCTGGGAAGCCAGTGCAAAACGAAATGCAAATGAATCCCAGTGAAGTTGCTGATCTAAGCCAAGCACGGTTGACTACACCTCCTCCCTCCTCCTTTTGTGTTTTTTATTTTTTCCAAGCATTCCCCAGCTTCATCATAACATGAAAGCTCTCAATTCAGAGCAAATTAATCCACAATCCTGTCTAAACAGAATTCCTGCCGGAGGCATCGTCCTCTTGTTGCAACACTCGTCAAACGTCATTCCGTAATTACATGAAAACTGTTATTGCTGCAGAGGCACACCCTGGGATGGGCCCTTCACTGCATACACAGCTGAATTTTGAAACAGGCCTCTTCCCCCTCCAGCTAATGACTCTAATGTGATTAAAAGCGGCACCATGACAGTAGCCTAGTAGGTGGGTGCTTCTGCTGCTGTCTTTGCTGAGGGAGCTGAATCTCTTGACCCAGCCAGAAGCTCTGGGACCTTGTCCAGTGTCAGCACATGATCTCCATTTCAAGCAGTGCCAGGAACCTGTACCTCCCAGCTGTTATTGTTCAGGGCCAAATGCATAAGTGGAAGCACAGCGCCTCTTTGAAGTAGGCCACCCTCAGCCCCAGTTCACGAGACTCCCCTCTTCTCACAGGCTGAGCTTTCCCTGCAGAAAGAACAACTGCAGCTGAAGATCATTGAGGTAGAAGATGAAATGGATAAGTGGCAGAAGGAGAGGGACCGTATCAAGGTGCGTATGGGATATTCTTTTAAGTTCACTTCTCTTTCTCCTGCACTTGCCACTTTCCTTTCTTTTCCACTCTTTCACATCCCTCTCCTCCTTTCCTCAACTTCTCTGCCATATCCAGCTCCTACTCACTCCATCCCTTACCCAGCCTCTATCTTGTCACTCTCCAAAACTCACTCATGCCAAATCTTGGAAACAACAACTCCTACTGAAGTCATCTTGCAACATACCCTGCAGGAGAGCAAGAAGAGCTAGCACGGCCTTGTTACAAAATGATCCAAGGCACCTCCCTGCTTCGGGTCCCTTATGGTTCTTCAATCACCAGTAGCAAGGCTGATTGAGAAACAAAGGTCTGCTGCTTTTCTTCCTGCTAGATCACACACAAAAATAAACTCCAGAAGGGCTCTGGATTGCCCAGATGGAGATAAGGCAACAGGAACAGATACAGTTACACCAACAAACTTCTTCTTCATAGTGGAACAGCTTATCTCCATACTGATATAGGGCTCCTTTATAATTCTTTCACCATGCTAAGGGTTAGAATACTGTAATGGTGGGTTGTTTTTTTCTTTTCATTTATACCCTAACTGAATAGAGCGGTGAAAACACTATTTGGACACACCCCAGAAAATTTGCATAATATTAATAGGCAAAGCCATTCTTCTCCCTTTTATGTGGTACATGCACTTTGGCTTCCCAGTTCTGCTTTTTGCCTGCTTTATTATTATTACTATTATTATTATTATTATTATTGGAAATCTGACCTAGAAATTTTAACTCTGAATATAGTTACATCCACAGGCCTTCTGAGGAATATTTCAGAGGGACCTAGAGGTCAGGTCCCTGTAAAAAGTGTTTCAGCACCTTTCATTCCTTTGAAATGGTGGGAATTTGGTCCTCAAATTCTTGAGGAGCCAGAACCATGATTTAGAAGGTTAAACAGTGTTTTCAAATATCACCTAAGAGTGCAGTTCATTAATTAAAAGATATACTCTTATAATCAGGAAGACAGCATTCCCTTTAGATTACATACACACAATTATTGCAAGTACAAGTATTACTTCTTTTGGCACAACTTTTCTAGTGCTAAGACTTACATACCTAGAGTGTCCATAGTCACAGTCTAAATGCTGAGAATGCTTGGACATATCCCCCGCTGTATCTCTCTCTATTAGCAAATCACCCCCTGAGAAGTTTAATACTTTATTTCTCCTGTGTCTTTTCTGCTGCTTCCTCTCTCTGCCCCTTCCCTCCACAGAACTACACCACCAACGAGAAAGCCACAGTGGACCAGCATTTCAAAGAGCTGATCCGCGACCTGGAAAGGCAGAGGGATGAAGTGAAGGCTGCCCTGGACCAGAGGGAAAAGATTGCATCAGAGAATGTAAAAGAAATCGTGGATGAGCTGGAAGAGAGGGCAAAGCTTCTGCGGGAGGACAAGGAGAACAGGGAGCAGATCCACCAGATCAGTGACTCTGTGCTCTTCCTGCAGGTAACTGAGATCTCATTTTCCTTTCCTTTTTTCCCATGAGGACAGGATTTGTCCCAAAGACAAATCCCAAGTCGGTGTAAGATGCGTTAATCTTCTCCAGTTCACTGCACGTGTACAGCAGGAACTGACCCTGACATTTGAAGCTGTCTCTGCTCTGGTAGGTGAAGAATGAACTTAGGTATGCCAATGCCTGCTTTTTTTGTAGATGGCTACAGCTCATAAGCAGAACGTTTCTCTGCCCCCTCCATCTTCACTGTTCTCCTTTGCACTTCATTATATTTGGAGCCTAACTTTAGCCAGTTCCCTAGGATCTAGCCTCCGTCTGTTATGTTCCTCAGTAACCTCTCCTCCCTTCTTTTTGGCAGGAGTTTGGGGCTTTGATGCGGAATTACGTCCCCCCTCCATCCCTCCCAACATACAGTGTGCTGCTTGAAGGGGAGAGCATGAGCCCATCTATGGGACTCCTCAGAGATGACCTCCTAAACGTCTGCATGAGGCATGTGGAGAAGATCTGCAAGGCAGATCTTGGCCGCAACTTCATAGAGAGGAACCACATGGAGAACGGTAGAGTATCCAAGATCTGCCCCTTCCCTCCCTCCCTAGGCAAAGCCTAGTGCAGGGTCAGAGGAGATGAAGTGTGATGAGCGTGCTCTCAAAGGAGAAAGTAAGCAAGGACCTAGGGAAAGTGCGAGAAAGACTACCCGTAGCAGGAATTCATTCTGGAATATTAGAGCTATCCTACCAGACCTATGTGGGGACGGAGCCAGTTGAACTGCCAGGGATTTAGAGTATCTCATGTGTAGGGGATCCAGGGGTTCAAACTAGCCCCACTTCTCTGAGTGCTGTTTCACGTTTCAGCTTCTCAGTGCTTAATCGGTTTAGCTACCTCCCACATGAGACTTCAGAGCAACACTTCTTTTTGGGGTTGAGAACAGTGACCCTTCCCTCCTGCAAGAGGCCAGCAGGGACACTCTGCCTTGCGCCAGGCTCCAACAAGCCCCTGCAAGTTTAGCATGACAGTTTCTACATGGAAGACTGCACAGACATACTAAGGCAACTCAGTGGCTCACTAGGTAAATTGAGAAGGCAGTGGCAGAAATGTGAATGTAGCCACCCCAGTATGGCAATTTTGAAATCCTGTCATTAGCCTATTTGTACAGCTTGGTTAGCACATGGGCTGTGCTGGTATGACTGTATGACATTTTACAACAGCCTGTTTCAGCCACTGCTTGCCTGGCTGCAACATGAAATACCCTGCAAGCAGCTGTCACTGAAAATCTAATAACTGATTTTCCAAGTAAAAAGGTCTCCATTTTGGTGTTCAGGTTAAGCTACAACTTGAACCAGCGTAACTCTCTCTGATCATACTTCTTTGCATGTTCCACTAGGGAGAGGTTTGTTTCCCATCTGCCCTGAGCCAAGGTGTTCAAAGGACATGCAGTGCCAAATGGTCCCCACGCTTCAGTGAATTTTAAGGATGGATGATCTTTCTTATGTGAATAGAGAGGTCATGGTGAATACCACAGCACTGCAAGAATCTTCTAAGTTTTAGAACCCACTTACTTTCTGTGTCTTCCAACTAGTTCTGCAGAAAGGACTTGTCTTGCATCAAGCTCACACATAAGATTAGGAGGTCAGGGCACTAGAATGAGACTCCACAACTCCACTCCACTTCCCAGCTCCCCCACAAACAGCCTTTGTAACCTTGGGCAAGTTACTTAATCCCATGAAATTATCTCTTGCACTAAGAATAGCAGGGATCGGAATTAATAGTTATCTCACCAGGCTGCTATAAGGATAAAATCTATTAGTAACTGTGGAACCCTAGATACCAGAACAATAAAGGTCAAGAAGCTGGATAGGTAATATGAGGATAAATTGCACCCTGCTGTTCAGGATGACATGTGACTCAAAAAGAAGCAGGAATCATTTCAAGTCCAGTTCATACAACACAAGCAGCTGAGGAACTCTGCTGCAAGTCTGCAAGATCCTTGTTATTTCATTCAAATTCACAGTACTTGCTAGACATTCCTCCCATATTAATACACCACCTTTTTCCTGGGCAACAGCCATGCAAATCACTACAATTTCTTTCCAGAAAAGACAGACATTACAAGATGATATGATAAAGGAAGAAGGGAAGAAACAACCCCACAAAAACCCAGAAAACAAAAAACCCAGACAAAAAGCAGCCCATTGAAAAGATGCATAGAGGTCAGAACAACACGGGTTTAGTTATTGGTCAACACACTAATGTTTTTCAGAGCCTGGGTTTTGTGAATCAGCCTGTCTGGCGCTCACAATCTAGAGCAATAAGAATGAAGGTGACATGGGACCAGAGTACATTTAGATCTGTAATGAGAATTACTAGTATTCATCAAGTGACAGCCTGCTACCTTCCTACATTATGGAGAGAAAGAGTAAATCCCTGGTCCCAAGGAGCCTGCATTGCAAACAGTTCATTAATGTTTATCTAGTGCCATCATTCTCCACTAGACATGAATTAGATGGACCAGATACTTCTGGTCCGGAGAACCAACCTTTCAGAAAAGTCAGGATTCACATTCAAAGTGGTCACGATGAATAGCTAAAGCCATATTTTTAAACTCTCCCTACCCTTAAAGTAGTACCAGAAATTGAACATGTCTTCCAACATTTAACACTGCAACATACTTGGTCAGATCCTCAACACTCTATGTGCTAAGGTTTGCTGAGAAATTTAGCTATAACTTAATACAAGTAGATGACAGGCAGCTCAGATCCAAAAATCACTTTTGTACATTTTCCTTTCTTCTTCTTTGTTCACCTGGAGATTTGCAGAATTTCCAAACCCTGAATGGCATAATGCCAAAGGGGTTTTGGATGCCTGACTGCTCACAGCACTTCTGAAAACTAAATGAGTAGCATAAAAGCATTTTGCATTCAAGTTACTGTAACTTAGGAAGTTACCTTCCATCTGCTGAGCTGTTTTTTGCCAGTCCTGAAGCAAATACATTTTACTTGGCCATTTGTACAACCCAACAAGAGTATGCGGACGTTCAGTTCTAGTAGCTTTGGATAAAGACTGACTACTTCTTGATCACTTGATCACTTTTATTTAGGGTCCCCCTCCATGTTACTGATGTCAGAAGTCCTCAATGGTACTTGAAATCCATGGGATTCAAGTGCCAAAACATTTCTGAGCAGGGCAACAACTAACTACTGCCAGAAACCTGGGCACTTCAGAAACTTTACCGGGGATTTAATAGACCCAGCTTGGAGTCTGCCTAATGAGAAGAACAGTGGTATCCACTCAGTTGGGAAATGTTATTTAAGGTGAGTCTCAGAAACTTCAGAGCTCTCCGTTTTTCAAACCATAGTTACACTTGAAAGAGGACAGCACTCTGCATCTAGTGACTGCAAGGAAATAACTCCACAATTACTTAATGGATTTAATTAACTCAGACTCCCCCTGAGTCATTGCAACAAATTCATTTGCAACCAGCTTGATCTTCTAGTGTAAAAACCAAGAAATATTATATTAATGGAATGAAACCTGCTTAATAGCAGACTCCAAAGGGAATCCACTTTTTCAGTTGTCGGTTGTCATAACAGGTACCTACTTAGTAGTGTGGCAAGGATGCAAATAATCAGAGAGCATCCAGGGATTGTAAATAACACAGAAATAAATTGGAGAAATAGATGTTTGTTCAGTGACTTAAGAATCAAAGAATGGAACTAAACATGGGAACCAAATTTACCCCCTTGCAGAGAACAATAGGTTTATATAACACTTGAGGCCTTAAAATAAAGTATTTTTATGAACAACTGTACTGATTGAGCATCATTTCAGTGTCGGAAAACCAAAACCAGGCTGCATAATACCTAGTAAAAGGGTAGTTTTCATCCATTTTGCATGAATCCTGAACCAAATGCCCTTGTCCAAGAGCCCAGGAAGCTAGAGCTGTTTGCAACTCAGGTTTAGCATCTTTCTTTAAAAATTGAAGAAACCAACCCACTGAGCCCTCCCAACACTGACTTTCTTGAGCTTTGTAATACTTGCAGTTCAAGATCTGCTGGTTGAAAGCCAGCACTGTGCACAAGTTAAACACACAAAAGAAGCCAAACCCAAACCACTGCTTTTGTAGTGGGATACATTTTTAGCCACACAGCAGTATTTTGGTAGGAAAATGCCTCAATGCTCAAGTCTCCCTATAGATTTTCAGGAGATAGCATATCTCCTGAATGGCCGAATGCTTCAGCTGCGCTATGCCTTTGAGGAAGCTTTCTCTTTTATCCCAGGCTGAACCTCTGGGCAGCTACATCATTGCTTTACCTCCCAGCCAGAGTCCCACAGAGGAATTAAAAAAATAGAGGAACTTGTTTTCAAAGAGAAGAACCATATCTCCTGCAGCACTTGAGGAAGCAATTCCAATCTGTTATCCCCTTCCCCCTCCTCCCATCCCCCTCAAGGCCACCAAACTGCTTCCTCCATCTCACACCCTGCTCTGCTTCTCCAGGTGACCACCGGTACATGATGAACAACTATGAGTGGAACCAGCCTGACAATCTGAAGAGATTTTCCATGTTCCTGTCTCCCAAAGGTATGGCATCCTAATGGTGGTCAGGCTTCCTCCAAACACAGCAGAGGAAAGGAACTTCATTAATGATTTGTCCCAAAATTTGCTTTCCCTCATGTTTCCTGCTGTCCCCTGGACAAGATCCGTCCCTTTGCATTTGTTTATGCCTGGTCTTCTTTCCAGCCTACAGAGCTTTGAGAAGTTTTTGCCTTTTCACCTCAGGGCAGCAAAGGTTCTCAACTCTATGGAGGAGAGCTGGAGCGACTGAACTCTTTCAAAAAGTGTAGTTTGTGAATATAGGGGAGTTTTAACATGTGTTACTTGGTTGAAGTCACTGTTACTCTCCACCAGAAGCTTATCCCATTGTGCTATCAAATGTAAAAGCTACACTAGGCTTGCTCTGCATTAGGATTTTACTTTCACCAGAAAACATACTTTTTGCCCTACAGGGAAAGGACAGAAGAAGTGAGGAGTGTGTCCTAAAAAAGCAGGAGTCTGGAGTTCCTTTCTGAGCTCTTGACACTGATGACAAGAGCCCTGGTGATTTGCTTATGTCCCAATTGTTACGTGAACACTACAGAATGAGTCTTTGGAGTAAATGACTGTTTTCAACACATTCAGTTGTAAAATGGCAGTTGTCTATTTCTACATTAGTGTCAGGACCCCCAGAGCGAGAAGCAGAGTGCTAAGAGCCTAGGCAAGGCAACGCATGTAGAAAGAAAAGAACAGAAAGGGTAGCATAAAATAAGTAACCAAATTTCCTCTGGTCCCTAGAGACCAAGGGCCTGCCTGGATTTGCCAGGTGTTTACAGCTGCTGTTCTGCAAAGCCAGATGGCAGGCGGGGCAAAGGGATATGGCAGCAATTAGCAGTGGCGCTCCCCTGAAAGCGTATTTGAAGTGCCGTGTCGCCTGCTCTGTTGTTAGGGTTTCATGGGGATAACCCAGATCCCAACACTGAGCCCTTTGTCTGAATTTCCACTTTGCCCTTCTCCTCTGTAATCAGCCCACGCCTGGCAGCTCGCTGGCCGCCCTGCCCGGCGCCGCAGGGCTGAGGATGCAGTTTGGAGCAGATACCAGCGGCAGAGGCGACATTCCCAGTTCAGCCTCAGCAAAAGCCTTCAGCAGGACTGTTTCCCGCGGGCTCCCCAAGTTAGGGGGCAGCCTCTCCATCAGAGGCTGCAGAGGGGCATTTTGCCAGCGGTGGGTTCATTGTGCACAAAGCCTGTCTCCAAACACCACCCGGATGGTTATAGCTGCTGTTCTGCCCCAGCTGCTTCAGGGCTTTACAGGCCCTGTGCTGTCAGGGAAACACATGTTCTGCTAAGCGGAGCTGCTGATGCTGGGGAGAGACCACAGACTCAGCCCTGCATCCAAAACTGTTTTCAACCTTAAGGGACGGTTGAAAGTTAGTTCTAAAATTGCACGGGCTGAGCCCATCTCTACTCGAAACGTGGGGCTTCAGGTTCAGGTGGAAATGGCCCAACGTGCATCTGAAGAGTATGGTGGGGGTGTGATGGGAGTAACACAGCAGACAATGCCATTCTGCCATCACCGCTCCCGTGTGTGTTTGGGACAGGGCTGAAACTTGACACGGCAAAAGGAAGGGAAAAGCCCTTTGCGGCAGTGCCATAGCATGGCATAGCCTGACTGCTCACTGCTCTGGACTGTAGTGCCTGGACTTCCCTCTGCTTCTCTCTGGAGGATCACTTGCCAAGACCTGGGAGTGGGGGCTCTCTGGCTCACAGCTGGGATCCAGCATACCAGCCTCCTGAGGATGAGCCAAGAGACAGGAGGGATCAACAGGGACTGCTAGAGACGGGGTTTCTTATTTAGTGCTCTTTATTGGAGCCAGTGGGGACACTTGCTGGATGCAGTCAGCTACAGAATAGTGTGAGGGCTGTACAGCGGCTTGCAGTTCAGTGGCCCACTGCTTCCTGCAATGGACTTTTGAATATACATATACTGGGGGAGTGTTTATTCCGCCTACACATCTGCGTTTTCCTGAGAGCACAGACATGTTGCCTTCCAAAACTACTCATTCTGTACTTTCTACCAACAAAGTTACTTTGTCCAAAAGGACTAAGCACATGATTGCACACACAGTCTCTGTTGAAATGGGGATTGAACAGCGCTGGATTCTCCACCAGGGTGAGGACTCAAGCATGATAGAAAGGAACCAGCTGCCGAAACCACACTGATGGGGACTTTGGGAACAGAATGAATCAGTAGGCAAAACAGGAGACATGACCCACTTAGCTTGCATGCTGGCTAGCAAAGGATTATCTGATGAATAATGCAATATCCCCATAATCATTTAACCCTCTAGAGCTTTCTATGCTCTGTCAATGTGTCATGTAGAAGTCCAGCACTGCCTCCAATTGCACCTTTTCTAAGGAATTCCATAAAACAGGAGGGGAAAAAAAAGAGGACCACCCTTTGCGTTGCATAATATGCACAGAATCCTTGAATGTCTCACAGATAGTTTTGTAACACACCCTTTTTCTTGCTAGGTTGGATCACTGCAAATCCTGCCTGAGGCCACAGGGGCAAGTCTGTTTGCTACATTGAGGAATGCTGCCCCAGTAGTGCTCTGTGCTAATTGCAGTGGCCCGTACTAAGAAACTGCTTGGATTTGAACTGAACCTATAGGTTTTTAAGCCCTGCTTAAATTCAAGGAGCCTTCCACTGCTCTTGTCATTAAAGACAGTATCACGGAGCATCTGCCTGCAGGGATGACATAATGAGGCAGAGGGGAGACATAAAAGGTTTCAAATGCTGCCTAAAAGATAGAGGAACAATCTGTTCAACTGCTCAACACTCCTTTCTGTCCTCTTCCACTGAGCTTTCTTCTCCTGATGTTGCAAACAATTTGGCCAAAGCCAGGAGGAGGTTGGAAAGATCATCTTGTGCCTTTGGAAGTCTTTGAATGAAGAGTAGGAGGGACTCAGGCACACACAGAGAGAGAAATAACTACTTAAATAGAAAAACAGTCCACAGGATGGCAGCATAACAGCTCAAAGTATTTCTCTCTTTTTCACTCTTCTGGGAGTCCAATGTCTCACACAAGGGGTACAACAGCACTAGTCTGCATCACAGCGTGATGTCCTAGTGAAACCCTGGAGCACATGCTTGTCACAGTGGCCGAGACAATGTGTGCTTGAGCAAGAAATGTTCCTCTACTTGTGTCTCTTGAGCAATAAATCCAAGGCTCTGCCTGCAGATCTCTTTGCAGAATAGTCATGTTGAGTAGACAAACCTGAGCTGGCAATTTAATGCAGCTAAAGACAGCTCTGTGGCAGCGAGAGAGCTTTGTTCTCTAAATGAGAAGTCTATTCGCCATTCCCTAGAACCCAGAGAAAAAAGACTGGGCTTTCCTCTACTCCCTGGACCCAGATTTCTGGTTTGGGGCTACTTCAAATTGGTGGGGACTATTTCATAGAGCAATGCCAGGCACAGGCCTTTAAGCCAGCTCATCAGGAGCCGACTGCTGAACTGGATGCTCTTGTTTTACAGCCAGTTTCAACCCACGATCATGGGAATTTTCCTCCTTCCAAGCGACTGAGGAAACACTTGGTACGGGTAATTCCGACTTCAGTTTGAAAGGATCTAACCCCCCGTGCCACAGCTTTCTAGCTGGCTAACCAACCTCTTCTGCTTCGCCTCTCAGCTGTCCTGCCACCTGTCAATCACTGTCTCACAGAACCATCTCTTAGCTGGGTTATCAGCACCGTCTGAATACACCCAAACCTAGGGTCTCACTGCTCTACGTGCTATGTACTTAGGAGGGAAAGGCATCCCTGGTCCTCATTGTTCAGACAGTGAAAGAGGAAGATGGAAAACACGGGTGCCAATTTGCAAAGATCCTGAGATACCTAAGCAACTGCAATCGATGGGAATGCCAACATCATCCAAGGCAATCTGTGGAGGTTGTGGCAGAACCAGGAGCAGACTCCAAATACCCTCAAGCCAGTCTCAGAAGCATAAGGCTGCTCTTCTCCATCACACATACACCTTTTACTTTTCTCCTAAGTTCTCAAAGACAGAGCCTGACGGACGTTCACTGTCTGTACAGCATCCAGCACAAGGGGGAGGGGGTGCTTTGAGCTAGTTTACCAAGAACCAGCAGCAGTGAGTCATGCCTTTTCTCCCCAGATCCCCACCTTCCATTTTCTTGCCTATATTTTCGTTCTTTGCTTCATTCATGCTCAGAGGGTCTTGCCTTTCCTTTCCTTTCCTTCAGAAGCAGCCTACAAGCATCCACGGCCACTCTGCCTGGGGGAGCTCTCGTGACTCACAGCCACACCTAAGTCGGTCCTGCTTTTCATGCCACAGGCAGGGCTGTCTCCCTCTCATCGTCTCTGCTCTCAGATTCATTCTGGCAGCCAGGGCCTAACCCCAAGGAGGCCAGGAGGGGAAGCCTTGCTTTAATTTCAATGGGCTTTGAATAAAGCCTCAACTGCTTGGAGGCAAGGGAGCTTCAGCAGTTACGTAGTTTTGCCTCATTACTCCAGTCTCTGGAGATGCAGTTTACCTGCAAGGAAGTGGCTGCTCTTCAGTCACACCTGCACTCTGGGTCTCTCAAGAGAAAGGCTCTTCCCTGCCTGCCTGGAGCATTGGGATCTCTTCACACTCACACACTGTGTACACCGGGACCCCACAACTGACTGCTCTCATCTGCCTTTTCTTACTAAGAGAAAAGGGACAAAGCTCTTAGTTCCCATTTTCCCCCAAGTTAGTTGAAGGTAGTTTTACAGAGTGTGTTTTGAAATGCTTGGGCTTCCCCACTGCAGCATATAACACCATGGAATAACACAACCTCTTCTATCTTCCAGTAGGCAATGGTACTAAGCTGCCTTTTCAGTTCTCCTCGGTGGGACAGAATCCGCCTGGTGACTTCAGCAAACAGTCTGACGGGAGCCTCTTCACTAAGACCGGTACTAGGCATTTAGTTTTTTCCCCTTCCTTCTGCCCCCTTCTTTTTAGGTGATAAGACATTTAATCCTGTTCTTGCTCTCCCAGAGAAGGCCTGGAGCAGTCCTACACCTGGCCTGTATCTCCTGCCCTGACTGTCAATCTCTTAGATACACACACATGTTTGCATGAGTAACCTACTCTGCTGAACCAGGGCAACAGGAATTTATTAAAGAGTGTTAAAAAGTATTAAAAAGTTACATCTAGTGAATAGTTGAAGGGGTTTTAAATTTTGTTTGTAACGGGTAGCGATGAGAATTTTAGATGATTTTAGAGGCGTAGGAACCAGGGAGAGAGAGATACTAGGAAATGATGTTCATGGCCATATACCCCTCTAGCTTCATCAGTGTTTTAAAACAGCCATCATCCTGAAAGAATAATAGCCACTGAGCACAACCTTGAAAAAAAATATGCAGTAGCTGCCTGTCCTTCTCCATCTGAACCAGAATCCCCCATTCACCATCTCATAATCCTCTTTTCACTACCCACTAGTTCAAGGGCACCAGAGGTGGAAATCAAGAGCATCAGCACCTGCCAAGCAGAGTCAGGTCTGATGAATTTGCAAATGGGAGACAGTGGGGAAGGGCCATTACCTGATAGAACTGAAACTGGTTGTGATTCAGCAGGGCTGGTATTTTTGAATCAGAACTGAGCTGGTGTGGTAGAAGGGGGTTAGGGCTTATCATGCTGCCAGAGGTACTGTCGTTAACTTCTGACATGAAACGCAGGCCTCGGCTCTTTACACTAATTAAATAGCCTACAGTGTTCTTCGCAACAGTCAGAATGCTTAGTTCGGAACTTGGCCTAAATTTGATTGGACTGATTGCATCCCACCTCTCTGCATTCCTCAGACATTTTAATTAGACAGACCTTCTTTACTCCCTTTTCCTAAGTGATTGGGTGGTGGAATAGGCATCTGTCTGATGGCTGTTGTGTCCCACCCTAAAAATGGCTGCATATCAATGTTAAGCAATGCAATACTAATTATGTGGCACTTCCAGTCCTGCTACTCATCTTGATGCTCGCAAGGGGGGACGGGGATGGTGGCAGGGACTGATCTATAACAGGCTGTTTTATGTTGTCACAGCTTATCCTTCAATAGTGAGACATCAGTCTGCAAAGGTGACGCCACAGACATGGAAATCCTCTAAGCAGTCTGTATTGGTAAGAAATATACCCTTGGTGTGAAAGCATGTGCACAGCTTCAGCAAGAGCACTATCTGTTCTAGGGATACCTGAGACTTCAGAGACTAGGGCTTGGGTCCTTTGGAGATGGGAAAGTAAAAGCTTCAAATCAACAGCTTCTATTATGTTTTTCTGTGGTTAACTGCATCCACAGAAGGATGCAGATTAACCCCCCTGCCTCCACAGTTCTGGGTTGTAGGAATAATCAATACTTCAGAATGACATCTTGAAAAGATTTTGCCCTGGTCTAAAATTTGGTCCAGGCTTCTAGAAGCTATACTAATACCATAGCACACACGCTGCTATCTGTAGTACTTTTCCTCCCTGCAGGGATATCATATGCTCTTAGTAGTCTGTGACATCTAGAAAGCACAGATTGTGTAAATGACACCAAAGACAACCATATAGAAGTATCTTGCTAATTATATCCTGTAGTAGGCAGATGCAATATCAAAGATGAAGGGTCAGATTACGATCATAAATCACTGGAACATCTGTAAGTCACTCATTTTGCACTGTAAGCATAAAACAGGTAACAGTGCATTATAAGGGGCAGAGGACAGTGATGTTTTAGCTCTTGTAATCTTAAATATACAAGGTTAATGAACAGTTAATGCATAACCACAGAAACACTAAGTTAATCCATTTTTCTTAACAAACATTCACACTGTGCTGCATTAAGATCTTGCACGAACTGAATTAAGATTGTCAAGTTTTTGCCCCCATCTCCGCAGATGAAATCTGCTTTTTGAATTCTGATTATACATTTGTGAAAGATTATTTACTGTTCCCTGGAAATAAGACTTGTAAGAAGGAGAGGGTCAAGAATCGAGAGCATTCCCACACTGAAGGAAGAAAACAGAGGAAACACACAACAGGAAGTAGCTGCCTAAGGACTGCAGCTGTATGTCTCTGCTAAATTTTCAAGGCCCCACGAGGAGGTGAATGCCAGTCAAAAGGATGTTCCTTGGTAGACTATCACTTTCAGAAAATGCAGCCTTAAGTCTCTGAATGTGCTACAGCAAAACATACCTATTACGAACAGCAAAGTTTTGCAATATCTTCTGTCTTGTGTTTGACCACCGCCTTTCTAAAAGATCATCTACTTCATCATGTGTGTGTTCAGATAGAGACTCGTCGCAGTGACTTTAGATACCAACCTATCCTCCCTAATGGTGGTGTTATACCAGGGGAGTGTGGTCAGGAAAGTGAAGTCTGTGTTGGCACTAGTAGGGTCTTCTTAGCAGTAAGCACCTCACTGCATGAGTCAGTGTGCTGTGCTCCATGAACACAACCCATGAATTCTTTAATCCCCCCAGAGAAAGCCTGGGTAACTTCTCCCACATGAAGTCACCAGTCTTCTTCTGTCTCCCTTTCTCTCTTATGCATACGCTTGTAGCGGCTATTTTATTTTTATAGCCTATATTCACCAGATAGCTCTGAACCTAACAATTGAGTTGATAAATATAAGCATTAAAAAGTCCCAAAATAGAAATATACGCTCTGGCCTGCAGTAGCTCTGCAGGAGCTTTTATGGTCTATTGGGCCAATAATCTAGCTTTTAAAATAGTCTTAAATATGTATTTAAGTAATACCCATTCTAAAAGTTCTGTAAATAGGAATTTTCACAAAAGACTATACTGTTTAAGGAGGAATGTCTTTTTAACCCACAGGGAGTTCTTTAAAATGAAGCCCCCCTCTTCCATCTCTTAATTATATTGGAAATTAAAGCCATAAAATGAAAAGAATTTCAACAAAAGGGAACATTGAGCAGGAGGCATTGGGAGTCGGCACTGAGCAGCAAGATGGGTTGGGTTTGCTCTGCCCATGCTTCCAGCCTCCTGCCGTGCCTAATATTAACTAGTGTGCCGCACAAAAATGTACCAGCACGTTCCTGTGACGTCTCTCCCACCTTCTGCAAGTGAGATCTGGGCAGTGGATCAAACCTAAGACAGATCAGACATTACAAAACCACAGTTGTTCCTAATTGCCTTGGTCACTGTTTCATTGGTGCAAGCATATTGTCATCCAGGCTACAAATTTAGTCTGTGACGGTGCGACCAGCTATCACAGTTGATAAATTGGCTTTTGTGTTTTGCAATCATCCCAAGCCAACACAAGGCTGCACAACACAACTTTGCCACGTGTTGCTTATTTGTAATGATGCAGGTAAGAATGAAATTCCAGGGGTAGGTCCTGATGAGAAGAGATACAATTAGGGACTGCAGTAAACAGAGCTGGAGAGACAGAAAAGGGCAATTCCTTTAGGCTCTGCCCCTGTCTCTCCGCTTACACTTCTGTTTACACAAATATATAGTACTGGGCCCTGCACCATGTGGAGGCCTGAATAAACAATACACCACGCTGTGAGAATTTCCATGCACAAGAGTTTGGCTTGCCAGCCAGAGAGCACAAATAAATACCGTGCGACTTGGCTGCTCACTCGCATAACTGTGCATGGCTTTAAGTGTGAAAACTCCCATGAGTTCTCAGGTTAGTGAGCAATTAAAAGACACTGACAGAAGCATAAAAATAAAGGTGACATTCCTCTTCTCCCAGAAACCTCTCATCAAACCATGAGTCATAGTCTGAAATTTTATATGATGCACAGACTCATTTGGCTCAGGAATTAGGTCCATGCAAAGCATGTGTATAAATCAAAAAAGCAACATCATTTGCATTTGATGACTCCAGCACCTCCAGTAGTGAAATGAGGTGGTGTTGCTCTGCAAGAGGAAAGACGGAAGGTGTTAAGATCAGAGTATGTTAAGATATGTATGGCTGGGCTACCTAGGAGGGTGAAGTATAGGTGGTCAGAAAAAGAAGGTAGGTCAAACTCACATGCCCCAAATTCTCCATTGCAGTCACATTACCGCCCCTTTTACGTCAACAAAGGCAATGGAGCCACCTCCAACGAGGCACCTTGATTCCTGAAGATTTAGGGAAGAGCTGGCAGCACTTGGAGTGAAGACTCAGCTGCGGATTTTCATGGATGTACCTGCTACTATATTAACCTTACTGCTCTAATCTCTGCCAGGGAGAGGGAAGGTGCAGAAGGGAATAGCCTTTACTAGAGGAAACAAGGACTTCTTCCAAATCACCTTGAAAGCTCTGCAGGCCTTAACAACATAACCCCATCCTCTGCTGTCACCTCCTTATTCCCTCTCTGTCAATGCCCTTCCCTTTGCTTCTGCAGAGCGAGCTGCTCTGCTTCTCCTGGGAAGCATGCATGCTTGGGTAGCATCGCCCCCCCGACTCTGCTATACCAGTTGCCCTGTTGTCTTGAGTGTGTTTATATGACCATAGCTGTTAAGTCCTGGTGAAGGTCCCAAGCTGGGGGGGCCCAAAGGTCATCTTGGAATGGAGAGGCCCCAGCCACTGGGAGCAGTGACAGGCTAAAGCTCTTTCCACGCCTCTCTACACCATGACCCGGCCCTGCCTCGGACGGGGACGCACAGCTCTCGCTGGGATCAGGTCCAGCACTGCCACCTCCCTGAGATCCCTGCAGACTCTCCCCAGCCCATGGCCATGGCAGCACGCTTCCTCAGGGCCCTTGGTCAGCTCAGCTCCTGCTCCTGCTGCCTTCCAAAAAGCCATCCAACAGGACCTATTCGGAGCTGCTACAGCCCAAGGCCACCTACTGGTGGAGAGCAGAGAGGCTTTCTATCCCATTAAAGTACCCCTCCAGCCACCTTTTCAAATCAAGAAATAAAAAGAAAATCCATCCTACTAATATAAAATTGATTAGATGCCATAAGTGTTGGGTGCTGTTTTGTTTTGTGGTTTTTTTTTTTTAATTCCCCTAAACCAAAATTGATTTATATATTGTGGTTCAGGTATTTTTTTCTGCAATAGACAATGAGAATTAGTACCACAGCTTTTTGCTCAGGATAATATTTTTTGTATGTCCCCTGGATAGAAGAATCACATCAGCACCCAGCTTGCAAACCAGCCAGGGATGGTTAACCTTTCCATGATCTCATCGAGATTATTTTCCTTCCCCTTGGACAAAGCTGAGAGGTTAGGTCCATGCTTTGCAACCCCTCCCCCAGGCCAGTCAACGGAAGCAGATGGCCCATTGCAGGATCAGAGCCCTCGAACAGTGATAAGCATCTGCAGAACACAGAACCAAGACCTGACAGCTACTTTTCATGGTTTGCTCTATTCAAGTGGTTTTTGGAATGGCTTCCCTCCACCTTTCCTACCCTCAAATGCTTGCAACACCTTGCTGAGAGAGGTCACACCTATCACTCCCTGAAAATTACTTTCTTGCTAATTCCTGTGCAAAGATACTTGCTGCTTTTTAATCTGACACCTCAGACAAAACTTCTGAGGCTGAGAGTTGGTTGCTCCAGAATACTTGAAATGGCACTTATTTTATAATTTTTTTTTTTCCTTAATGACCGGAGGAGAAGGGAATAGCGTAGTGGGGAAGGACGTGAAGAAAGGGAAACCGGGATAGAGTTGCTAGGAAATACACTGAGGGGTTTGAGTATGTGTGTGAAAGGATAAAATACCCCCCCCTGCAAATCTCACTCTTTGTTTTGCCCCTGAGGAGGCATCCAGTAGCCACTTGGGTCCCTTATGTTCTAGCAAAAGCTTCCACCACCTCCCTTCTATTCTCCAAAACGTGGGCATGATCCCTCCTCCTCCTCCAAAACTTGGATATTAAAATCCCCCCCTTCTTTCCCGCCCTAAAGAAGGCCTGCTGCGATGTCAGCTGGGAGCTGCACTGCCCCTCGCCCAGCACACAAATGACCGGCCTGAGGATGCAAGCGTCCCCCCTTCCTCCCACCGTCCCCTCCCCGCCGGCTCTGCCCTCCCCTACCTCTGCAGCCCCCACGGCCTGTTTGCTCCCCTTCCTCTCCTCACTTCGAGGGCCTCGCTCAGACCTTGCACGCACGACTTTTCACGCTGGCACGCTCCGGCGACAGGCTGGTCTCCCCACAGCCCTTTGCCCCCGCCAGAGGAGCGCGGGATGGGAAACAGCTCTGGCCCCGGGGAACTAGCAGCGCGGCTTCGAGGTGTATTGTGCATGAACTGTTTTTATCGTGTTTATCTCGATCAGCAAAGCAAGAGGAATTCCACCTCCTCAGACAGGACCCGACTGCGCTGATGTAAATGAGGCCCTTCACGTGTGCAACACATACTGCAGAAATAAAGGAGAAAGCTCCATGTCTGACTAAAACCCCTGGGGATGAGGTCTCTCTGTCTTTGGTGTTTGTGTGCTTGGAACAGTCTCAGTGAGGTTAAGTCTCTTCAGAATATTCTCTATACGAGTAAGGCGTCTGGAGAACCCGTTTTCCCAGCTTCTAGAGGCTTTGTTTTCACTGCTTTCTGGATATTTTGAGTCAGGGCCATGTCAGCTCGGAGAAAATTCCCACATCCTTGAAGGTCAAAGCCAGACTGATGAACGCACTTCTAGTATAATACCTTGAGGCTACCCTGCAGAGATGCCCAACCAGGTCAGTTCCCAAACACCGCTACCACACAAGTCCTTCTCTGCAAGGGCATTTCTAGAAACCCCTCAGCCTGTGGTTGTTCATGATTTCAGTGCCTCTCCCTTGCCAGAGTTAAACCTCACCAGTTCCCACTGGAGAAAAGCACTTGCTCACATATGCGCAGGCCAAAATCAGCCTGGGAGAGACCAGGCTCGTGAGGAGGCCGGCTGAGCTGAGGCACTGTTTTGCCCCAGCCTGGACCTGAGTCTCCCCAGGAGGTTGGTGGTTCTGGGCACCATTGGGACCCTCCACCCACTTGAGCCCTTCTGGGGATATAGGCCTCCAGTTCTGCATGGTACAACTTCTTGCCTATATCATGGCTTCTCTTATCCGTGAGGGAGAGAATAAATCCCTTGTGGGCTGCTAAAGATGCGGATTCAAGGCCAAACACGCATAGAGGTAGCTCTGACAGCCGCTTAAAAGAGCAATTGTACATGCGAAGCTGTGGGGATAAGAACAGAAGCAGGCGAGGTTTATTCATTTACCCTAGATACACTAAGGCAGGGAGCTTTCCAGAGGATGCCTGGCATACTTCTTCTCCCAGTTACTGGACACCAACTATTTTTCCCCAGACATTGCTGATAGGCATTCCTGAAGAGCAAGGATACTGCCAATTCACTTGAGAAGCCAGTAAATCCTCCCTGTTTACCCCACATGGGAGTTACCAGAGAACAGAGCTCAGCTCTCTCCCATCAATTCCACTCACTGCCTCCATTACTGTTATTACTGTGCTTAAAAAGCAATCAAAGAGAAATCTTCTTCCTGTCCTGAAATTGCTGCAAACATCTCAGTTCCACCATTTAAGCATGAGAAGAGCAAGTTACAAGTGCACTCTACGCTCCTGGACTCTGTGACACTAGAGAAAAATAATGGAGCTCATCGCCCGAGCAGTCAGAGGCAGCGAGCGGGACCGGCTGCGCCAGCAGCGTGGGGATGGAGTAATGAACCTCGCAGCTGCGGGGCTACGTCGCGCCTGCTTAGGGAACGTAGTCAGAGCCGCCCCAGACACGCCATAACCAACTTCGCAGCGTGGAAGCGCAGTCTGAGCTCAGCGCTGCTGCACACCCAGCTCGGAGACCGAGGACAGGCAGCCCAGCTGAAGGAGACGGGACTGCTCCTCTCCCTCTCTGTACTCAGGCAGACCAGAGGGGTTGGATCTGGGGTCAGGCATCAGCTCTCCATCCCAAGGAGACCCCCTGGGAGAAGGGCCGGGGGCGATGGGTGTCTCTGACCCCGAAGGGCAGAGGGCACTCGGCCACCCGAAGCTGGGCTGTCAGGGCAAGGCTCAAGCACCCCGGGTGCAGCCCAAGACGGGCGGGGCGGGGCGGGGCGGGGCGGGGCGGGGGCACGCCCCGCCCAC